AGTGTCAGGGGTCTGTGGTTGTGTTGGGTTAGTGTCAAGGGCCATTGTTGTTGTGTTGGTTGGTGGGGTTGGTTTGTGTAGGTTTGGTTGTGTTGGGTTAGTGTCAGGGCCATTGGTTGTGTTAGGTTAGTGTCAAGGGGCCATTGGTTGTATTGGGTTAATGTCAAGGGCCATTGGTTGTGTTAGGTTAGTTTCAAGGGGCCATTGGTTTGTGTTGGAGTTAGTGTCAAGGTTGCCATTGGTTGTTTGTTAGGTTGGTGTTGAGGCATTGGGTGTTATTAGTGTCAGGCCATTAGTTTGTTGGAATTGGTGTCTCAATTTGGTTTTTAGGTTAGTGTCGAAGGGGCGATTGGTTTGTGTTAGGTTAGTGTCAAGGGCGTGGTTGTGTTAGGTTAGTGTCAATGGGCCATTGGTTTATGTTGGGTTAGATTAATGTCAGGGCTGTTGGTTGTTGGTTAGTTTAGAGTGTCGAGGCGGGGCATTAGTTTGTGTTGGGTTGGTGTCTGGTTATATTGGGTTAGTGTCGGGGCTTGGTTTGTTTTAGGTTTGTTCAAGGCCATTGGTTTTTAGGTTATGTCAAGGGCCTTTGGTTGTGTTGGGTTAAGTGTCTAAGTTATTGTTAGTTTGTATTGGGTTTGATTGTATCTGAGGCCATGTTTTGGTTGATGTTAGTTGAGTTAGTGTCAAGGCTATTGGTAGTTTGTGTTAGGGCGTTTAGTGTCTGGGGGCCATTTGTTTGTGTTAGTTTAGTTTTAGGTGTCTGGGTGTTATTTGGTTTGTGTTGGTTTGGTTTAATTGGGGCCATGGCATTGGTTGTGTTAGGTTAGTGTCAAGGGGCCGTGGTTTGTTAGGTGTGTCGATTGGTTTAGGTTGGTGTATCGAGGGTCATTGGTTTGTTAGGTTAGTGTTGTGACATTGGTTGATTGGAAATGTCTGAGCAATTGGTTGTGTTTGGAGTTGGTGTCAAGATGTTGTTGGTTTAGGTGGGTTAGTTTAGGTGTTATGGGGTTGATGTCTAGGGTTTGTTATGGTTTTGGTTATTGGTTCAGTGTCAGGGCCATTGGTTTTTATTGGTAGTTAATGTCAGGGCCTTTGGTTTATGTTAGGTTAGTGTCAGAGACCCATTGGGCATGTTTGGTTGTGTTTGGTTGAGTGTCAAGCCATTGGTTGTGTTAGGTAAGTGTCAGGCCATTAGTTTTGTGGTTGAGGGTTGTTGGTTGTGTTAGGTTAGTTTAGTGTGTCTGGTAGGTAGTGGGGCATTGGTTGTGGTTTAAGTTGATGTCAAGTGGCCTTTGGTTTGTGTTATGTTGGGGTTAATGTCAAGGGCCATTGGTTGTGTAGGTTAGTGTATCGGGGAGGGCTTTGTTGGGTTGGTGTCTGGGGCTTGGTTTGTGTTAGGTTAGTGTCGAGGCTGTGTTTGTGTTGGGATTGGCGTTATAGTTCTGTGGTGTTGGGTTCGGCCATTGGTTGTTGTTAGGTTATGTGTCAAGGGGCCATTTGGTTTATTTTAGGTTTAAGTGTCGAATACGGTTTGTGTTGGAATAATCAAGTTGCCATTGGTTTGTTGTTGGGTTAGTGTCAAGGGGCCATTGGTTGGTGTTAGGTTGATGTCAAGGGGCATTGGTTGTGTTGGGTTGGTGTTAATGGGCGTTGGTTTCTGGTTATTGTTGGGGCCATTGGTTGTGTTTGGTTACAATGTCATTGGTTGTATTTAGTGTCAAGGGACCATTGGTTTGTTGGGTTAGATGTCAAGTTGCGTGGTTGTGTTGGGTTGTTAGTGTCAAGGGCTATTCGTTGTGTGAGAGTTAGGTTGTGGGTTAGTGTCAAAGCCATTTGGTTGTAATGGGTTTGTGACAGGTGTTGGTTTGATATCAGGGCCATTGGTTTTGTTAGGGTTAGTGTGGAAGGGCGTTGGTTTTGTTAGTAGTTTATGTTAGTGTCAAGGCCATTGGTTGTGAGGATTCTAGTGTCAGGGCCATTGGTTGTTAGTGTCTGAGCCGGTGGTTGAGTTAGTGATATCGAGGGCCGTTGTTTGTGTTGATGGTGTCAGGGATGATTGGTTTGTGTTAGGTTAGTGTCCGGGGCTGTTGGTTTGTGTTTGGTTGATTTAGGTGTCTGGAAGGGGCTTTGGTGCAGTGGTTTGGGTTGGGTAGGTTAGTGTCAAAGTTGGCCTTGTGGTTTTTGGCGCTGGTTAAGTAGTTCAGAATTATTAGTTGTTGTTAGGTTGTGTCAGTGCATTGCTGGTTGTGTTAGGTTTCGTTTGTGTAGTGTCAAGGCCATTGGTTGAGGTTAGTGTCAATTGCCATTGGTTGTTGTTAGGTTAGTGTCGAGGGCCATTGGTTGTGTTTGGTTGTCAAGGGGCCATTGGTTGTGTTAAGTTAGTGTCAAGGGGCCATTGGTTATTTTAGGTTAGTGTCAAGGGGCCATTGGTTGTGTTAGGTTAGTGTCAAGTTGCCATTGGTTGTTGTTGGGTTAGTATCGAGGGCCATTGGTTGTGTTAGGTTAGTGTCAGTGGCCATTGGTTGTCTTAGGTTAGTGTCAAGGGGCTATTGGTTATGTTAGGTTTGTGTCTTGGGGCCATTGGTTGTGTTAGGTTAGTGTCGAGGGGGCCATTGGTTGTGT